AACCGCTCCTCTCCTCGGCGAGGCACCGTAGAAAAATCGCGGTGAATCTTGTATACACGAGGCCTTACTCACGACGGTAGAGGAGACGCGATTACCATGCTAACTGCGCGATTTACCTCGATCGAGCGTGAAAGGGCGTGTGGCTGCAAGAAGAACTTTTACGCCCGCCGAATGATTGACTCTTTTCTTCGATTCTGGTGATATTTGTAGCGAGCATAACTGAACCACTAACCACAACTCTTTTTCTTTTGTACGAATTTTTAATATTGTTCTTAACACAGTTAATCTCGCTAAACATGACGTTGTCGGTCTTCATGATTGTTAAAAGAGAAGAGATCGTTCAGATAGTTATTGACTACTATTTATTAATTAATCGGTTTATAATTTTATTCTTGTATTATTCTCTACATTTGACGATAGAATGCCTTGTACAAAAATAGTTTTTATTTATATTTAAATGAAAGTTCAATGCCTTTTTGAACAAAATTTGAAACTACTCTCTTTCTTTTGTAATACTCATATTTTTGTTAAAAAAGTCTCTGCTTCCACTCGTACAAATCACACGCTATTGAAAAGTCTAATTGATATACATGTGATATATTTTCTATACGATTATATGAAATGTGTACGAATATTTACATCTATGTTTATTTCTACTATAGAAATGATGCAACAATTTATGAAATGTTTCATTACTAGCGTTTCAAAATTAGCATTTCATTACGCAAAATGTATCCATTAGCGTGAAATTAATATTAGATAACAACGAGGAATGATATACGCGAAATGTATATAATAGTTATTGATTCAATTATGCTCCTAACTATAATTGCGTCACTGGACTGAATTCAAAATCGTTTCTCCCTTTTCTCATTTCTTTATTTTCCGATTCTTTTATTTTTTTCGGTCATTATCGTTGGAAAATTAGAGACGAACCAGAGACCAGGCGAAATAAAAATTAATTACGAGCGAGAGCATTACTTTTCTTGAGAGGCGGGTCCTTACAGTAAATTTCATCGGTCGTTTAGCAAGAAGCTAGGAGCAAGGAGCAACCATCGAGCCATGAAAAGGCACTCGCGATAAATCTCAACCGGTGATACGAGCTCGAATTTCGGGTTAAAAGCACACACGCGATCCTCGAAGTTTTCTTGAAAATTTTGGATCTTAGTCCAATAGAACAGGGACCGTGCAGTTACGTGAAAGTAGATGGTAAGACAAACGTGTGAAAATTTACAATGATGGAACATGAGCGTCAATAATCTGTTAAATATTTAATATCATATCATTTATAATAAATATTTAATGTCATATCATTACTGTATAGTATACAGTAAATATTTGACGTTATATTATTGAAGATATATAAGATACCACAAAGTGGTGAAAAAAGCATAGATATGACATAATCTCAAATTAATATTCTGTTTGTAACTTGTTTCGTTCGTCATCGATTATATGTTCAACGTATCGTGAAGGCACTCGTGATGTGAAATTATGGATAATAAAAATTGATTTTATGTGAGGAGGATCGTTAGAACGTATGTTGATTAGACATTTGTACTCTTCTTGATGTGAGCACTGTAAGTTCCTTAAGTAGGATCTCTGTATCCACATCTCTCGCATTTTAATTATTATTATACCTGGCACTTCATCGATGATGCGTACAGGTATTTATAATATTTTTAGAAGATAATGCAATGCAACAAGTCTAAAACAAATGATCATTATTATTAGTATTAGATAAAACTGGAGAAAATAGATATGACGTTGATTGATACATACATACGTACACAACTTATAGAGATAACGTGACGTTGATTCATACGTAACGTGAGATTCACGTAACCAAATATAGAAATTTAGTCAAATGTAAAAATTTTTAAATTTAATTATTCATCTCCTCGTTGTGGACATTAATCTTTTTTTATCATTTGTGCCAATTTGACGAGTCGGTAAAACGAGGAACGGGTGAGGGTTGAAACATTGGAACACTTAAGAGACTTCACTGTAATTTCTTACTATCGATCTCTTGAACTTTCTTTTGTTCGTCGCTGTCTGTACATTTTCACGACGTGAGACACGGTGGTTTGTCCCTGCGTGTACCGTGGAAGCACCTTTCTCCAAAGCAAGTCACGCGCGAGTTCCGCGCGTTCTTACGCACTTGCGTAACGCATAATCGGCCGATGCGAAAAAAAGAGGGTTATCCGTTTGCAGTACCGTACTCTGTCCACTTTCTCCCCTTCTTCGTTCATCTATCGTGACGTCTAGATTTAACCCTCGTCCATCCCTCATTTTTTCCAATTTAATTTGCTCCTTGGTATCAAACTCAGCCAATAGTGAAAAAAGTCATACTTGCAATGAGAAGAGAAACAGCTAAATTTTGTTATCAATGATGAGCAGACTGAATTTCTATTTGATTACGTGTGAGACTCGTACAAATCCTATATTTAATTATATTTAATCCTATTCTTATATTCCATTATCTTGTATTTTATTCTATTTTTATATTCTATGTATTAGTTCACGGATTAATTCAAGTATAAGTTATTTAGTGTTATAATCAAAATTATAGAAAATGATATAAGACTATCTGTCAAGTATTCTGAAAATGAATGTTATCTGCAGTTCTGGCGACGTGTTATCAAAAGTATTAAAAATGAATGCTAAATATTAGAAAAATTGATGTCACAAAATTCTGCACCTGTACTTATATACTGCAAAATAATAGAACATTTTACAAGGATAATATGTCAAATTGACAACAGGGCTTTAATTGACAGGAGCTTCTTCGATACCTTAGGAAATTATTATCGGTTCAACTGTGAAAAGTTCAGTTCCAAAACTGTGAGACTAAAAACAGGCGAAAGAACTTTATTCTTCGATCATTCTTTAACAATCCAGCCACTAGAAACTATCGATCAATCACGGTTTTTTCTTCGACTCATCGAAGATTCTTCTCATTGTTTAAAAAAGGGAACACTCTCGAATATCGCTGACAAAGATTTATCTACCGAGCGTGAAGATTTCAAATTTCGTTTCGTCGCTATCAATTTCTATCTTTTTGTTTTCCTTTCCTTTTCGCGTTCAACGACGTTTAGTGGAGCAACGAAGAAGATAGGAGCTGGACGAACCATAATTTCGTATTTTCCATGCCTTTAGAACTACTTCTTACAGTTTTAAAATATGCGACAGCTGTCGGGCGAATATTTCACCTGTAATCTGGACCACGCGAAGATTTGTTTGTCCCAGGTAGAAGCGTAATGCACTCGGTTCTCACGTTTTCTCTCTAAGACATTACAGATGATCTCTGAAACGTTTTAAGTGCCCTAGCATATAATGGCAGATCGTTGGATTCGTCTTTATATTGATTACAATACTATAAAATTGAAATTACACAGTGTCATTATTGGAAAAAATTTTTTGGAAATTTTTTATATTACAATGCGTAGTTGAGCGAAAAATTTCTGTTTGAGATGTTTTACGGAAGTGTCTGAAAAATATATGTAGAACAAATATGTGTAGAAATGCACACAGCGAAGAGCATAATTGAACCAATAACGGTGAAAAATGATCAATAATTCAAACTATCATAAACAAGACAAACAAAAGATCATATAGCATTTTAGAGCGTAAAACCTTCAATCAAAACCACTTTGACAATCTTGAGATTTCCAAAAGTTGAGAAAAATTAAGAACTGCAAAAACGTTTCTAGAAGTAGTGAAAAGTTTGTTTCACCCACCATGAATTTGGAAATTGAAATTTCTTTTTATAAAAAACCCTTAATATTTACTGTACGACTTTTTCTCGCCATTTTATCAAACTTTGAATGTTAGGATTGGACGAAATGTTAGAATTCATTCAATTTTTATCAACGTTCAATAAAATCATACGGCAGATTTTAAGGCATCGTTGTAAAGAGGAAATGTCAATCTTATAATTTTTTATTCGTCAACCGTACAAATTTTATAAACATGAATTTTTTTTTAATTCATGCTTTATAAAAAAGGGGGGAAAGTCCTGGTGATCTGTGTCAACCACGAGACTTTCGAGGATCGAGGAAATTTGCCAAGGAAGCAACTCTCGCGGAACACCGAACATGAATTTTTATTTCCACCCGGGTTGTGGCTCGCTTTCAACTCTCTAGAGTTTCCACGAATGGAACGCCGTAAATTTTCATCTCTTTTTGGGGAACAGCGAACGTTAGCAATGTTGACGTCGCGATTGTACGGCGGAATTTAATTTAATCTAAAATTGAACACATTCTTTATCCCGTAATATCTATAATGTTGTTTAATTAGAAATATCAGAGTCATTGGCATGAATAATCTAAGAAATTGCCACGCAACACAAATGAGAAAACATCTTTTAAAAATCATCTGAAAATGAATAGAGTATCATAACTGTTCAATATTAATGACTAATTAATTATTATCATATGAAGGCTAACCATATCTATTTAATAACAAGATCAACTCAACAGGAACAAAATCTTCTCTCAATCAATCTCAACATTATCAAATTCTATTTTAAATATTGGAATTATGAAAAAAAAAATTCCAAGAATTCGCATAATGTCTAAACAATTTTATTAATTTAAATCGTCAACAAATCGAAGCATTATACTCGATCCCTGGTGAAAAAAAGAAAGATATTTCTCTACGTCAACCTTGCGATGCGAGTAACGTAAAAACTTAACCGGAGGAATCACGCGCGCTGACGAAAAATTCCTTTTATATTTCGTTCGAGATCGAAATATTTCGTCTTTTGATTTTAGGGAAACGCGAGTGGGTTGAGAACGACCGGGAGAGGAGGGTTACGAATAGAGAGCCGAATTGCCAGGCAATCGAAAAGAACAATCCAATCGGTCGAGTACCGCGCGCGGCCTTCCCCCTTTTCTGAATCACTTTGTGCCAGTGCTCATGCGCCTGGGCAACATATCACCGCGTCGAAGTAGCGTCGGCAGCTGTGAATGGGACGACGACGCCGACGGCGACGACGCTCGACGTACGAGCTACGAGGGAAAGAGGACGAGCAGAGAGAAGTCAGTCTGGCCGCGCGCGCCTACGATCACTGTCCACCGCCGGTCTCACGTCGCTCTCTTTGCACCGGCGGGACGGTCCCAATTTCAAATCATTCTCCGACTTGTTTCCAACAAACTCTCGCTCTCACAATCAGTTGTCACCTCCTCGAGTGGTTCTTCCATTTTCCTTTCTTCATCGCGATCTCAGTGCGATATACGTCGTGATTCGCAGCTGTTTTTCACTCTTGGTAAACAAATGGAAGAATTCCGGGATACGAGATATTGTTCTCGATTCTTTCTTTATTTGTTTCGTAAAATTTCGTCGGTGGTCCTTTGCAACAGAACGTTGCATTATATCGTGATTCGCAGTTGATAATTTAGAAAAATCCAAGATATATCGTTTCTCTAATTTTTTTTTTTAATTGTTTCATAAAATTTCGAATTTTTCCGCTACCAGTTGCATCGTGTGTTCTTTGATTGTTTATACATCTAATATCTTTGATTTTTCTTTCCCTTGAAATAATGTTCTTCTTTCATTTCCGGTCTTCCTCCTTATCTTTGTTCAAAGATCGTACAGATGTCTCATCATTGGTAATTTAGAAGAATTCTCAATGAAGAAATATTGTCCTTTTCATTTCTGTTTCTTTCTTTTCTGTTTGTTTATCTCGCGAAGTTTTATCGATGAGAATACAGTGAATGAGCTTGTGAAATAGATACAGCGTAACCGGTGCTTTTCATTTCTTTGATATACCGTGGCGATTAGGGGCCGCATTCTTGCACGCCCTCTCACGTGGACCACGCGACGGCCGCGAATTTCAATTACGAGATTCTAGTTCGCCACTACTTGGAATGCTTTAATTTCTTCCGCGATGTCGGTGTCGTGATAGACGCGGTGACACTGGTTCCATTGCGCGCTCTTTTTTTCTTACCAGGGATGACATTCCGCGTGTTCGTGCGATTTCTGGTGTTTCGCTGAAGATTGTCCGCTTTTGACGAAATATAATTACACGGAAATACGACGACAGAGGTAAGTTCAGTAATTTATCCGAAGAGAATAACACTGCTTTATCGAAGATTATGATCAATAACTATGATCATTATTTAAGAAAATGACACAACGAATATAAATTAAAACGCGTGTCACTTAATTTCTTCTTTTCTAACAAACAATAAGTAACAATATTTACTCGAAATATTCACAAATAAATACTTGATCCATTCATTTTTTATTTCTATCTGGTCTACCAAAATACACGCACGCATTTGTCTATGAATGTTTCTTTTTACTTACAGCACTCCGAAAGAGTTTTTGCTTCTTTTAAATTGTTACAAAGTCTGTTCGAAATAATTATGTACGTTAACACGAGGTGTACTTAAACAATTTCTAATTTGCATGTTTTCATTTCCATTCAACACTGAGACGCGCGTGTCCGTTCATGAACATCTGTTTCTACTGCGACTCCTTTAAACAAATAATAAACTATAACTTCAGCATTCAGAACTGGTACAATGTAAACTCCAATTATTATTATTTTTACACCAGCTAGAATTTTTCATATACACATTTTTATCCTTATGTAATAGTAAACTACATGAGTTCCTTTGTGAATGTCCGTTTCTACTGCAACTCCGTAGAATTCTGTTTCAGCTAATTAAATAAAATTAACGATATATTCTAACTAGGAAATAACTACATACACTATTGGTAAACTGTATGTGTCCATTTATGAACGTCCAGTTCTACTGTGACTTCTTCAAATTATTTCTGTACTTATTTTCAACTATAGAACGCGAATAAAATTTTTAATACCTACAGTTCCATCTTTACGTAATACTAAACTATGCATCCTTCCAAATCTACTGCGGTTTCCTAAAATCATTTCTATGTTCAATTATACAAAACGCGAACTCATGCAGTTTTTAATATCTAATAAAGCGTATTTTTTTTACGCAATACTAAACCACACATGTCCGTCTATGAACGTCCGAATCTACTCCCTAGAATTCTATGCGGAGCTTCTATGTACTATTCAGTATACGTACTATTTACGTACTATTAAGTAGGCCAAAAAACAACGAGCGAAACGTGACAGCAGAGACGAGTTAGAGAAAATAGAGAGGCGATGCTCAGGCTGGTGAACATGAGAAAAATAGAAAAGAAAGGAAAATAAAAAGGAAGGCGAGCGGAACGGGCTGTTGGTAGGTGGTCGAGAGGAGGAAAGACGATGGGAACAACGTGGAAAGGATTCTAGCAAGTTGTGAATGACCAGCTGGTGAACAAGTGTTGCAACGTGCCGACGAAAACTTGATTCGATAAATCACTGACTAGGGCCTCGTGAGCCAAACCCATCCTCCTTGCGACGAGAGGCGATAGAAGTTGTATTGTTGGGTGCAAGAAAGAGTGCAAGAGTGAAGTAGAGTTAATTAGATTCCACTCTTCGATGTACGTTCTCTAAATTTCATTGACAACTAAGTCGATACTCTCTTAAAAGTAAATCAAATATTAATCATCCTGGATGTAGATTTACATATATGAATAAATTTCATATATTCAACTATTTTTTTTTTTTGTCAATGTGTAATTTACAATTAATCAAAGATTACCTGGTTTGTTAATCTTCTGATTATGAACAAAAGTTTTGAGATGATACAGATGTTCGAACTAGTCAAACTATTCGAACTATTCGAGATAGTCAAAGAGGCATATTTTCATTACTTTTTCTTACTGTATTATTAAATCTTATTAAATTAATAATGCAAAGGCCCATAATTAAAATTAACATACGTATTACATAACTCACAGTGTATCCATGAACCCTTTAAAAGGAAATACAAAATCTTTTAACACTAGACGAACAGTGCGTCTTACAAGAAGAAATATTTCACTTTTAAACGTTTTCTAAACTCTGGAAACTGAAGCACGCGACAATAGAAATTTCGAAAATCGAACGCCGCGTCAGCGAGATTAAAATCGCTCGAGAGCGAGAGCGATTAAACGATTTATCGCGAACGGTGTCAGAAGTCGAAGGAGACCACTTAACCGTCACCTGCGTCCCTTTCTGCGGGCTCGTTCGAAAGTATATTAACCGACTTCGACATCCGAGGTATTTACGAGGATGTGTAAGCGTTCCGAGAAACCGAGGCGCTTAGCCGGCAGCCGTTTTACTCTCAAAGTAAAGGGTCTGATTCGCTTTGATTCTGCCACGTTGTCGCTCTCCAATTGAGACTGAGATACTTCTCGTCTTGATCGTTAATGAGCGAAATGATATCCTCTTTTGATTCGTTCGAACGATATCGAATTTTCGGCGACGTTGTGAATTTTAATGGAAATTACATATCGCGATATTTCTCTTCAATTTGCTTTTATCGGCCGTGTCGAAAGACATGTTCGTCGTATCTCTCTGATTATTATTTTTCTGCAGGGGGTATTTTCTGCTGGCATTTAGTTGATACGTGATGTATATTCATCATAATACGTGATGCATATTTATCACAGTTCTGTGTTCAGTCCACCTCGTGTTTTCTTGTACAGAGTATATTTAATTCCAGGTACGTGTCTGTCGTTGTGCAGTATGGCCAAAACATTTTAATGAAAATTACATGTGATTTTAATGGAAATTATATATCGTGATATCGGGTTCAATTTGCTTTTATTGGCGAGAAATATGTCGTATTTTTTTTTGATTTCATTAATATAAACTTCGTTTTAAATGACAATTACGAAATTGAGCTAGGAACGTGATACTTCCACATTTCGAAAGATGAATAACATCCAACAAATGAAGGCTCGTAATATTCAAACGCAATAACTCGCGCATCACGATGCAAGTTTCACAAGTCTGGCAATATCGTACACGAATGGAATAAAAAGAAATTTCAACAGAAACAGAAATTACAATAATAGCAATTATTATCGGAGTATTTCGAAACCATTCAACAACGAGACGAGAAGAATACGAGAGTATCAGACGGAATTATTACATTCAACAGAAGTAATAAATCCTTTTAAAGTAGAAATACTTTAGAAGTATTAATACCGTAGTAATACCTGCACCAATCATATATAAACATAAAATAGAAACCGGAGAAATTTTCAGACTCTAGTTACCGGGGGTGATATCTCGTTCTCACCTCTGATGAGTCGTTTCCTTGTCGAAACGAAGAGCACGCTCGAGGTGCAAGGCAGCGTTAACGCGTAAACGAAACGACAGCGAAACTAACGACGGAACGCTGCGAGACAAGATAAAACGCGGAGATAAAAAAAAATCTCGCATACAGGGGAACACACTCAGCCGCGATGATGAAAAGAGATTGCTATTTTTCGAAGTTGCGGCGAACGAGCGTGAAAGAAGCTTCGAAAATACGCTCAAGACCGAGCACTCAAGATGATTTTCGTCGCGGAACAGAAACAAACAGCGTATGGGTGGTTTTTATAAAATACAGAGTTGAATCAACGTTGAGAATCGATCTCGATCAGTTTCTAATCAATTTATAACTTTAACATTGGAATTGTGAAAGAATTCTCCAAATATTTGTCTTTTATCGTTATCTACAATCTGGATTTCATAATTTTCAGAAAATCGAGAAGAATTAAAGTATTTATAACGTTGTAGTACGTATGCAAAATAATTATACTGGGGAGAAAAATATGTTTGATTTTTCTTGAATGTATTAACGATTCCAGAAAATATATCGAACTTTTCGACAGCGTACTTATCAATTTTGGAGAAAATTTGTGGGAAGATAGTTGAACATTCTACTACAAACACTTTTTTAAAATCAAGGAATTTATTAAAGTAGATTGCTATAAATCTACTGTAAGTAAGTGGAGTAATATTGTATATAAGGGGCTTTTAATACAATAAACTTATTCAGATTGTCGCTGACGTAGACGTACACTGACAACGTGGACAAAAAAGATCCTTAAAAAGGGAACGATGGACGACGAAACTGATGTTTATCAAGTGGTGTGTCGCAAGGAAGTTTTGAAAACAGACAACCAAACTATCGACATGAATTTTCCAATAGAAACAAACAGCGCATCGCTGATTTTCTTCTACCCTGTCTACGAAAATAAACGAGAAGGTCCAATAACACGAAAATAGAACATGTATCTCACGTATCGGCGACTGCTATTTCCATTTGCACACAATCGAGCAACGCCTTCGCTCTAGATCTCGTCACCTTCGCCAATCCTCGATTATCGTCAGGATTTATTGTTGTCTGACAGCAAGGATCGTCTCGCGACTAGCTTGTCAATGCTATCTTTAACTCGTCGATGACGTTCGTAACTCGCGGTATAATTATTCGCGAGCTTGCATAATTCTCGGCTATTGAATTTTAGAGTCACTCGCGATTTTTCAATATTACTTTTGTTTACTTAAAATACAAAGGGGAAACATTTTTTACGAATATAATTGAGGCCAAATGATACTCTGGAAATTGAAAGATCTGAACGTAATTTCGTAATATTGACTGTTAACCCTTTGACTAGTGTTTTGTCTGGAATGTTTAATCTTTGTAAAGTATTGTATTATAATGAAAGTGCAATGAAAGCATATCTTCCATTTTCAATAATTTATCACGACATTCATTAGAATTCAACTTCTTTAAATTTCAGGAAATTAATAGAATCTGAATGAAAGACTCTTAAATATCCTCAATCTTAAGAATCTTTGGAATTGTCTTTCATGGTTTAATTTCAACATTGCAAGATACAATTCGATGATATTAATTGGAGGAAAAGTATATTATTGGATATTAAGTAGACATTCATTATATTTTAATAATTATAAATATTTATAGGACAAAAAAAACCGGTGACTAACCTGTTAAGAAAAATGTGAAACGTCGAAAATTCTGAGTGCCCTAGGGGCTGTACGACAATAACGCGCCTTGACGAGCTCGTCTAATTAGAGAATGGACGTGGAATAGCATTTGAATAGAAATTGAATCGCGCTGCTCGAGCCTCGTATACTTTGTATACCTGTTGACGCAACCGGATCGAGGCGTGCCTAAAATTCTCTA